TTTTTTTGGTTTTTCTCCGGTACCGGGAACCGAACTCACGACCTTGCGCTTGCCAGGCAGGCGCTTTGCCGCCGAGCTAAATCCCCAGCCCCCTCTGTGGGGCTTTTTATAAGTTATTTGTGCTAATTATTATGACTCATGTGCAGCTTCCACTGTCAGTGTCTTTGAAATCTTTGTGGTCTTACTTTCTCCCAGAACCTTCCCTAAATTGTACAGGGGTTTTTACCTTGTGCTCGTAATTCTCTTAATGCCAAGCTACAAATGGTTTTGTTTTTAATGCAGAATTTTCTCACCTTACATTTGTTCTCTACCATTAAAATAATAAACATGAAAATACTTGCCTGTAAGGAGGAGTTCTTTATGAACATCTGCCTGGCAGTTAGGTGTATCTGCCAGAGGGCCGTGAAGTGAAACACAGGTATCAGGACAGTTAGGAGAGTGATTCCTGGCCCTTGCCCTGGGGTTTCAGTCTTATCATGACTCAGACTCCACCTATCATGTGTGGTGATTTTATCTTCCCACTCCAGTGTAGCCTTGAGAACATTTTAAAAGAGGGTTAATATCGCAGAATGCGCACACACAATGTTTAAGTAGTTTGGAAGCCCTTTTGCATCTTCTGACAATAGGCTTGTCTGTCAAACAGCTTCTTCCCTTCATGTTTGAGAACGTGAACTAGATTAGAAGATAGCAGCTGAAATCTCATACAATGACAGTACTGTCTGTCAAAGCTTTAAAATCTTTAGGGAAGAAAAATACACTTTTAAAAGGCTACCAATTTGCAGGGAGGACACGATGGCTCAAGCCTATAATCTCAGCACTTGGAGGCTGAGGCAGGAGAATCACAAACTGCATAGTGAAACCCTGTCTCAAACAGACCCAAAAGAAAAAGCTACCAATTTAAAAAGCTTTGGGCGGGGGATATAGCTCACTGGCATAGCATCTGCCTGGCGAGTACGAGGTCCTGAATTCCATTACTGGTACCCAAAAAGCATTTAATAAAAATTTTAAAAGTTAAAAAATAAAAAGCTTTGCTTATTTTGTATGTTTTGTTTGGAAAAAAGATCTATTTTGACAGTTGTGCAATATCAAATTAACTGTAAAATCTAGTTTCTCAGTGTCTCAAAAACAATTTTTTAACAGTTCTAATACTTTGAAAATATGTTTGTCCTTAGGGTGAGCAGAAGAGACCTGTTTGGTTCTTGTAGACATTCGTAGTAGTGCTGCTTGAATTCTTCACTGACAAATGTTAGTTGCCACAGGTATAAACACAGTAATGTGGAGAATTATGAAAGTTATGAACTTAAGGCATATCCTTTGATTAAAGAATTTAGGCAAATAAGAACTTCCAAAGTCCAATACTTTAATCAACTAGAGAGGATACGGAAGAAAGAGAAATACTGACAGCGAACTGGGGGATTTTGCTTTAAATTGGGAAAAAGAACCAGTTATTTTAAATGATTAGAAATGAAAATAATGAAAGAAAGTAGAGGGCCATGAAAGTGTTTGTAAGAATAATGACCTAGGAGACCAAGTGGTGCTTTGTAAAAGCTGTATTTCCTTACTCTGCTGAGTGTCTAAACAGTCACTTAGACCCAAGAAAAACGGCTTTAATTTTTTTGTTTGGTTTGGCCTTTTGAGACAGGATCTTACTACATAGTCCAGGCTGGCCTTGAACGCACTGTGTAGCCCAGGCAGGGCTCCCCTTGCAGCGATCCTCATGCTTCAGCCTCCCAAGTGCTGAGATCACAGGCTTGCACCACCGTGCCGTGCTGCCTTAATGTTAATCTTACCACACTCAGCTTTATACTACTTGCCGCCACCCAAGAAACACAGTAAGCCATTTATTCTGGTGAAAATGAGAAAGATTTATTCTGTTGCCTCAGCCCTCCATTCACCACATTCAGAAGTGCGGGGGCTTTTGTAGTGAGGAAGAGGGGAGAGAAATACAGTAAAACAAAAGACAAGGAAACTCCTTGCAGGCTTACACCCCCTTTGCAGTTCTTGGCTCTTTCCAGCTTCTGCCCGGGTCCTTTGGGACCAACACTGAGGGGTGTTTTTGACACAGTGTTACTGTTCTGTGCATTTTCTGAGCTGAGGAGAGGAGGGGTGGCCTCTGAGGATGTCAGAGAAATAGCCTATATCTCTAAAAGGAAGAAGTCCTCACTGTTAGAGGCCTGTTTGCCCCTTTGGTCACATCATCACCGGTGACAGTGGAGGATTTGAGTGAGGCTGAGCGTCTGCGCTGTGTACAGTGACTAGGTTCCCAAGCAAAACGATGCCCCCACTCGAATCCTGTGTGGCGCCCCTGACTGCTCCTCTCGAGGGAGGCGGCCCAGCACAGAGGCCTGCAGTTGCAAGCTGTGCTGTGTGACGCAGCACTCCGCGGTCCCTGTAGTTCACGGCACAGGCCGGCCTGGCTGCTGTGGCCCCAGCCTTGTGTGAGTGTGAGCCACAGGCCTGTCTCAGTGCCATCTGCTGTCTGTGAGGTGATAATTCTCTCTTCTTTGTATACATTCTCTTTTTTAAGATGGAGCAACCCTGAAACAGCATTGATTGCAGGTAGATTTCCCATACAGATGAGAGCCAGGGATAGACCAGGACAGGTGGGGCCTGTGGAGGAGAATTTCGCACCTGACAGATGAGGGGAATCGGTAGATGGGCATGGGGCAGGCAGTTGGGGCCCCAAGAGAGCAGCAGGCAGGGAATCAAGGAGCACGCATGGGGCTGCACCACAGGCTGTGAGGCCCGAGACGAGCAGGGGCTGGGTGAGAAGCCCTTAGGGCTTCAGGTCCAAGTGACATGAGGTGAGACCTTTGCAAGAAACGATTGCTCCAACTGCAGCAGACAAATCAGAAGGATATCCCGGGGACCCCAACCACGACAGGTACACTGGTCACGCTGAGAGAGGACCATCCTAAACTAAAGCACTGAGCAGGCCATGCCAGGGCAGGGGCAGTTGCAGGAAAGTAGAACAGGTGTGAGGGACAAGTGGCTGTGCTCTAGAAGGTGAAGGGGCCAGGCTTTTGGCTTCAGGTCCTGAGTCCCCTTCAATAGTAGGGAATGCAGGAGAAAGACAAAGTTTTAATATCTGATGCTAATAGACTAGAGCCTTCTGCCCACACCCACACGAGCATAATTCAGGCTCAGCTCTCCAGGGTAAATACCTGCTTACATGCAGCTTCCTGAAGGAGTTGGACACCCTCTCTTGGAGGCCTGGGCTGGGAGGGGTAGAAGAATGAGACAGAAAGGGAGGGAGGGACACGCAGGGATTTGAAGGGTGGCTCACTTTACTTTAGATCTAATAGCACCAGAGGAGCAGGCAGGTTTCTATAAAATAATTTTGTTTTTTCTCAGTTCTTCGTATTGGTGGTTGTGAAGCATACTTGGAGCTACAAAGGCTTAAACCTTGTCCTTAGTATATTACTGTTTAACTTCCATTTCTATTTTTATATCTGATCTGGAGCATTCGAAACTATGTTACTTACCAGACTACAGGTGAACATTAGTAGCTTAAAGTTAAATTTTAGCATTGCCTTGTCTTGGACCTCTATGAACAAGAAAATAGTTGGTTAAAAATAAAACTTAGTCATCAAGAAATACATGTTTCTTTATTAATCTTCTTGAGGGATGGGTGCTCTTGACATAGATGAGGCACAGATAGTCAGCTTCATACAGTAAAGTATGCCATTTGGTTACCAAGGCCACTATAGTTTGGTGGTTTTTTTGTACCAGGAATTGAACTCACGATTTTGTGCTTGCTAAGCAAGCGCTGTGCCACTGAGCTATTTCTCTAGCTCCACCAGGGCCACTATGAACTTTGAGTTAGAAAACTTCCTTCTCAAACACAGATGATAAGAAACATGCTATGAGAAAATGACACATTGGATGGACATGCTGGGAAAAGAGCAGTTGCCTAGGTCCCCCTTCAGGGTTCTTGCGGATGACAGCGTGTGTTGGCAGAACCCACACAGAGTTAGCGCAGAGCTGTGTTTCCTACAGTTGTCTTTGCTTTGGTGCCCGTGTCTACACCGGGCATCTGTACTGTTATCCATGAAGAGCAGCACATGTGAACTCATGGGAGTGCACCATGCACAAGGACTGTGCGTGGCCCTGTGAGCTGCTCAGAAACACACACGGGACAGACTTGGGTGCAGTCTCATCCTGAGAGCTAAGAGATA